AGACTTTCCATGATCCTTAGATCTCAGCCTCCTGCATACCTAGGATTACAGGTGTGAGCCAGCAGCACCCAGTTGGGAGGTTAATTTTTTAAGCTCTAAGTATATGTTAGATATGAGGCCTTTGTCTGATGCATAGGTAGTATCTATTTATCTCGCTAGCTATGTCCTTTGCTGTGCAGAAACTCTTAAGTTTGATGCAATCCCATTTATCCAGTCTTTCTTTGATTTGTTGTGATTCTGGATCTTTACTTAGGAAGTTTTGATCTGTGCCTAGAAGCCCTAGTGTTTTCCCTACCCTTTCCTGTAATATTTTCATGGTATCTGGCCTTACATTGAGGTCTGACCCAGCAACTCCTGGGCATTTATCCAATAGAACACAAACAAGGCCACACTAAAGCTACCAGCACAACCATTTTCATTACAACATTGTTTACTCTAGTCAAGCTATGAAATCAACCCAGATGCTCTTCAGGGGATGAATGGATCAAGAAAATATGGTATGTATACACAATGGAATTCTATGCTCCCATAAGAAAGAATGATATTGCACCATTCATAAGAAAATGGAAAGACCTAGAAAAATTGTATTAAGCGAAGTAAGCCAGACCCAAAGAAACATAGGTTGCATGGTTTACCTCATTTTATTAATTAGAATGTGTCCATAAATCTAAGTAAACACAATGGATGGTAAAAGACAAAAAATTACACTTGGCCATGACAAACACTCACACAGTGAGACAAAAAAAATATTCTTCAAAGTGGATCACAAAGGCTCAATAGCTATATGCATATGCTCATATAAAATGATGTTTATTGAAATGAACTCTAAGAAAGGGAAAGAAGAGACTTCTTATTTTGCTTTTTGTTTTTTTTCTCCTTTGTCACTGTTTTTTGTTTCTGTACCTTTTGTCTTGTTGTGGGAAGGTAAGGAGGAGCATAGAAAAGTGGGACAAAGAGTGAACAAATGTAGCAGTAATGCACATCAGATACTATGTTGAAATGAACTATACAACTTGTCCATGAGAAGGGTTGGGAGGGAGAAAATAGAAGAAGTGACACTATTCAAGAAGGAATGTACTCATAACCTGACTTATATAACTAACCTTTACAATAAAATAAAAAGAAAAATTACTACAACCAATAATAATAATAGAAAGTTGAAACATTAGTTTTGGTTTGCTTTGTTTTATGGTAGAGAGCTACCCAGTAGCAAAAAAAAAAAAAAAGGCCAAGCAAGGGCATGAGGCCTTAAGTTCAAGCCCCAGTATCAGAGAGAAGAAAAAATACTTCGGAGAGAAGGTATTTTAAAACAGCCTAGATGCCTACAATCTTGTTTACTAGCTTGCTCTAGGTTGTTTAAGGAAGAGACCTGCTATATCTTATATTGTACACAGATGACATCCATATATCAGCACATTGGACATGTGGGCTGTCTTCACATGGTATCTGACAGGAAAAGGTATGGCTGAAGTTGCAGGTGATATAGAAGGAGGCATGTATGACAGAACAGAATCTTTGCTTTCTCTTTTGAGTAAGATCTCTAGCTCTGTGATGTGTTATCCCTGTGACCTTGGGGAACATACTTAAGCCTCAATTTCTTTGGAGATCACAAAGATCTGTTTTTCACCTTCTTTATTGCTCTGGCAATGCTCTGTCTGGCTTCTCATATTTATCTTGGGCTTTGAGAGTGCCATTGGGGTCCTTCTGCCCAGTAGGTCTCTGCTGACAATCCTTGTGAGAACAAGACTGGGGGTGGAAGGATGCATAAAGGATACATTTGTTCTAAGAGGACTTATTTTTCCTTACTATAGGGGCCTACAGTACCCTACAGTCCTGTGAAACTGTGTTATAATTTTCATTCTTATCCCCTCAAACAGTTAAGACAACTGCTATTTAATAATTATCTCTAATGAAGCTCAGAGAGGGTGGCTTCCAGTGCCTAGCACAACCTAACATAAGGCATCTGATTATTAAATGGACAACTATAAGCCTTATGTTCATGTTTGTTTGTTTGCATGTTGGTACAAGGGCTTAAACTCAGGGCCCTGTACACTTGCTTGGCTATTTCACTAACAGCTAGTACTCTACCATTTGGGTCATACCTCCAGTCTAGCTTTTTTGCTGGCTCACTGGAAATGGAGTCTCTCAGACTTTTTTCTGCCCAGGATGACTTTGAACAGTACCTACAGTCATGTGGGTATAAGATTTCAACCTTATACATTTTGTTAGGTTCTGTCCTTCAACCCAGAACACATCTTTTCAAATTTGTCAATGTTGACGTGGCCTGCAGAGCCTCCAGTGAATGAAGATGAAGGAAGGCAGCCTTCAGGTGGGCCCACTGTGCATTGTGAGCTTGGTGTATCCATCAGTCCTCCCTACAACCTTGTGCTTTGAAGTTTAGACTGCCTTTTTTCCATGAACAATTCAACTTCATGCTGTAGTTTTCTTAAAGTGCTAGAGATTGTTTTCACACATGCTCTATCAACGAGCTACATCTCTAACGCCATTCAACTTTTAAGTACCAGATGTCTTGGAAAAGCCTTGGGAATAGTTTAGTGAGAGATGACCAAAGGCTGCAAAAATACTGACCTTAGGGTAGAAAGCCATATTATAAAGTCACATTACATAGTAGTTAATAAGGGAATGCTGACCTGTTCTACCACCCTATAACTCATTTCAACTAATGTAACTGCAATTCAATTAATGTAATTCAATAATGCAATTTTTAGTGGGATGTATTCCATTTGAAGAAATGTGTATTAAGTTAGGAACTAAGGGAAGTGATTTTTTTTCCACTGAAAATAAGAAATTTCACAATTTACCTTCTATGATAGGATAAGTCTATATATTAAAGTATGCATATTTGCCCTTCAATAGACTAATTTTTAATAAGTTTTTATTGTGAAAATACCATACAGAGGGGTTACAATTACATGAGCAAGGTAATGAGTACCTTTCTTATCAAGCACAGTTGCCTCCTCCTTTGTTTTTCCCCTACTATCCCTGCCCTTCCATCTCCATGACTACACTCGCCCACTCAATAGACTAATTTTTAATATAATGCCTTTCCTTTCTTCTTCCTTCCTTCCCTTCTCTCCCTTTCCCTTCCATTTCCTTTCATTCAATTTTAGTAGTATGGGACTTGAGTTCAGGGTCTTGCACTTACTAGACAGAGCTCGACCACTTGAGCCACACCCTAATCCCTTTTTGTTTTAATTATTTTTTGGATAGGACCAGTCTGCACTTTCCCCTCAGTTTTCAATGATGATCACACATAATGAGTGTGATAAAAATGTTGATGCCTATCAAGTGCCCTGCTTTTTCCTTACTAGTAGAATTCTGACTTTACTCGGGTTTCCAATATAACCATTTCTCCAAGGTTCTCTGATCAGATGCTTTGCCCGAACAAGGGAGAACCAAATGACCAACAAAATACAAGGCTGAAATATAGTTTAAGTAAGCACGATCACATTCATTAGCAATATTATGACTCTGTGAAGTAAATATTACTGTCATTACTTCAATCTACAAATGAGGAAATAACCATTTTGGGTCAAATGAGTTATGTCACCTATAGGTCCTAGATTCAAACCTGTCCCTTCTCTAAAGCCTCTGCTATCACTTCTCTAATACATGCTAGTTCTCTAGGCAAAATCCAGATGCAAAAATGAAGTCTTAACAGCTTTGGTCTAGCACGGTGACTCATGCTTGACTCATTACCGCACTTGGGAGGGAGAGATAGGACTGCAGTTTGAGACTAAAAAGCATGAGACCCTATCTGGAAAATAGCTAAAGCAAAAAAGGGCTGGAAATATGGCTCAAGTGGTAGAACAGGTACAATTAGTAACATGGGGGTTTATAAAGACTAAAATTCAAAACATTAAAAATGGTTCAAAAGGCAATATTTTATACATTAATGGCTATCTCAACCAGGATACAATACCCAACCAAAACATAAACAATCAGATCAGTATTTTAGTAATAACAGATTAGTAAGTAACAAATAGTACCTTGCCGAGTTTGGAAGTTGGTATTTTGGTCATTTTTCTTAATACTCATTAACATTCACAATCGGCTCAATATAGCGGAAAGGGGGAAACGAAAATTAGAGTTAATTGCCACTGCTGTTCCATCAGTAATAAAAATGAGACACTCCGAATTCCATTTTTAACAAGGCTAGCCTTCACTTGTTCTGTATAGAAGAGTTGCAATAGGCCACACTTCAAACGGACCACCATTCTCTCCTAACTCAGTACCTTCTTGGTGGTTAAAAATGCAGTAAGTACTAAATACGGAAAGTTCAACCTGTGCCTACTCTTGTTCACATGAGGGAAAAGTTAGTAGCTCTCTCAGTGGTCTTTAGTGAAGACTCTTAAACCAAGGTCATGCTTTCCTCAAGACAGACGGGGCTCTGAGCAAGTCAGAACCAAGTTCAACACAGAGACGAGGAATGAACTTCCCCTCCTCCCTCCCCCCCCCCCAACACACACCCTCGTCCTTCCAAGGCTGCACCGAACGCCGCGGCGAGGAGCAGCTTCTCCAGACCCTCCAAACCCTGAAGCGGTCCGCAGTATCTCGTAAAAGCTCATCTATTCCTCTTAGATGTCTGACCTCTCGGAGGAGCCTCTATCTAGGAACATTTAGGTAACGCTTCTGTGGCAAGAGGACGCACGCTTCTTTCCTTCATGACACTGCAACAACCCATCATCCTTACCAAAATAACAGAAACAAGGTAGATGAAGCGCACGCTCCCCGTCGCACCAGGCCGACCTCCGCCTTCCCCATCGCGACTAGAGCCGACCCAGGGCGACCGAGTCCCCGGCTGTGCACAACCAGCCCAGCCGCTCCGGCTTCCGGGATCGCTGGAGGCTCCACCCACCGCCTGACGTCAGGCGCCGGCAGGGTCCCGCCCACTTCCCACGCGCGGACAAGAAAGCCCCGCCCTTTTCGGGAAGCGGTCGGAGAGGACGGCGGCCGCCCGAGCCTAGACGCAGGCGCGGCTAAGATTCGTGTGCTTTCGCTTCCGCGGCAAAACCTCCAGACGCCCAGGTGGGGAGACACGGAGGTGGGCCGGGCAGAAGTTGCTCCGACCTCTTCGCCAGGACGGGCCAAGGGACGACCACGACGGGTGTGGCACCCACCACGGAGCTCGGCGGGCTCGGGGGGCGCCGTCCAGCCGCGCAGCCCGCGCCCCCGCCCCAGCTCACCGCGTCCCGTCGAGTCCACCTGCGCTCCCTGGGCGCGTCCGATCGCGCTCCGGTGCCGGTCGGGGTGAGGAGCCCCCGGGTGGCGCGCTCGTCGGCCGCTCCCGAGGCCGCTCCGCTCCAGAGGCCGCCCGCGCTCTCGGGGTCCGAAGGGAGCGCGGCTGGCGCGAGGGTGTGGACTACCCTCTGCCCCCGCCCCCTGCCCGGGTGGAGGCCTGGGGCGCTGGTCGAGCCTTAGTCACGGGGTTTTAATCCTGGAGGCCTGCCAATGGAGCCCTGGCGGCCTCGGGTAGCTGGGAGACTCGCACCCCCTGCCTCCAGGGAGGGACTGCTTGGCCGGTCAGGAAAACCGTGACTAGGTTTGGCGGGGTTGGAGGATCGCAGATCCTGTGGGTTAGCTCGGCTAGAACCACGGGGAATTACTGTGCGTCTGTACAACAGGGCTGGCGAGGAAGAAAGGGGATCATTTTTTTGTGCTTCTTTATTCGACAGCTGTGGGTCACAAGCAAAATAGGAAATGCTTAATTAAAAAGTAAAGTATACAGTTACGTGCACAATGTTTGCATAGTGTCAAAAGATGCGTATGCTAGGAGAATGTGACATCTGACAATAGACTCTTGTCACAACTATACAAAAAGAAAGCATTAAGCGCACCAGAAAATGAGCAGCCTGATTAAAAATGGGCACAGGTCTCAACAGACACCTCACCGTGTAGGTGGACCCATAAAAATGGTCATTAGCAAAACACTATTTTTTTTTTTTTTTTGGTCAGTCGTGGGGCTTGAACTCTGGGCCTGGGCGCTGTCCTTGAGCTCTTCAGCTCAAGGCCAGCGCTCTACCGCTTGAGCTACAGCACCACGTCCAGTTTTCTAGTGGTTTATTCCAGCAGGAAAACACAATTTAAAACAAGGAGATACTACATTTTACAATGGCTAAAATCCAAAATACAACAAGTGCTGCTGAGGTTATGGGGTGACAGCAGTTCTCATCTATTCATGATGGGAATGCAAAGTGTTAGGGCAACTTTGGAAAAGAATTGGGCAGTTTATGCTTATTTGCTCAAGGTTGACATTGTCTCAGTTGAGCCACACCTCCACTTTAGCTTCTTGGTAGTTAATTGGAAATAGTTTCATGGACTTTCCCACCCAGGACTCTGGCTGGTTTCAAACTGCAGTCCTCAGGTCTCAGCCTCCTGAATAGCTAAGATTATAGGTGTGAGCCACTGGCAACTGACCCAGTGTGGCAGTTTCTTACAAAGCTAAGTCTTGATGATAACAGCAGTTGCACATTTTGATGTTTACCCAAATATAAATAATGTATTGCTAAAACTTGTATAATATTTTTCTTCAGTTAAAAATAGTTTCTAATTTCTCTCAGGACTTCATCTTTGACTCATTTGTGTGTTATGTTTATTTTTAGCATATATTGATTGTTCAAGTGGGGTTTTATTTTGAAATTTTCACACATGTAAATAATGGATCCTGATCAGCCTCACCCTCTCTATCCTTTCCTCTCATTCCCCTTTCCCAAAACAATTCCAAGATATTTAGTTGTTCTGTTTTCATGCACGCAAATGAACTAGTAGACTGTTCTAATTCGCCTGCTTCATTAGCCTCCCCCACCACTGGTACCCACTCCCCTCATCTGAACCTGTTTGCATAACTGTGTATTTGACTTCCAAGTCTAAAAAAGCAAGGTTAAGTCCTTTTGGAGTTTGAGGTCAAATCAGTTTTATGCCTTTCTCTCAGTTTCTAGTGATTGTGAGTAATCTTTGGTCTTCGCTGCCTTGCAGCTGCATCATTCCTTTCTTTGGCTTTGCCCTCATATGAGAGCTCAGCCTTCTGCCTGTTCTTTCTGGATCTTCTCTTTGTCTTAAATTTCTCTGTATATCCTCTTGTAATAATGACACTAATCATTGGATTTAGGCCTACTCCAAATCTAGGATGATAACAAGATCCTAAATTACACCTGCAAAACAATGATTTTTCCAAATAAAATAGCTTTCTCTAAACTGAGGATTAGAACTTAGACATAACTTTTTTGAGGGTGCACTTCTATCCACTCTAAGGAATAATTTATGTATAATAGAATTCATGAGTTTTGAGTGGTTCATTTGAGTAGTTTTGACAAATAGATGAGTTGCATAAATGCCAGTAGAGTCATGATTCAGCGTACCTCCAACAACCCAAAGAGTTACCCTTGACTCCTTTTTTGACCAGATGTTGTAGTACATACTGGCCTGAAACTCACTGTGTAGTACAAGCTGGCTTGAACTTTAAACTCTCCTGTCTCTGCCCCTCTGGTAATTGAAATTACAGGCATGCCGCACAACAACTGGCATTTCCCATGAATTTTGTAGTCAGTCTCTCAATGACCTCTAGTCATTGATAACCATGTATCTATTGGTATAGTTTTTTCCCCTCATGGTGCCCTGTAAGTGGAATACATACATATATGATATGTCAACCTTTGTATCTGGCTTCTTTGGCTTAGCACAGTGCTTCTGAGAATTCATCCATGTTATATCTATTAGTGGAATAAATAGGCTTGAAAAATTTTAAATATAAAATATGGTTGCAGGAAGGGCACAATGGTGCACAACTATGGCCATTTTGCTATTTTTGAGTCACCTTCCTCCTATTCTGTGTATACCTGCACAGATTTTGTTAAACCATTGCCTTCTTCACCTCACTTCTGTGATGACAATATTCTGGTAGTGAACTTTTGTAAGTTACCATAAAGCTAGTCAGTGCAGCTCAAAGTCTGAATCATCCAAGTAAGCTCTCTTGTACAAGTGGAAATCCGAGTATATTCTCATGTACAAGTGTTGAAAAAGAAGAACCAAAACCAAAAGCATCTCTATTCAGGCATGCATTAGCCTGCTTAATAATTGTACCAGCATTTTTGATTCTCTTTTCCCAGGCAAATTGAGATTTAGTAGCAATGTCAAGTATTTTTGGCCTATTATAATGAATATTTTGGACAATACAAGCTTTTATTAGAAATCTAGGAAGAATGTTATTTTTTGGTTTAGCAAGATACCAAGCTGGTTAAGTTCAAATTAGAAGTTCCAGTATACATTCTGTGGGCTGTGTTTCTTAAAGCCTTTGCTGTGCTGTTCTGATCTGTGTGTACCCAGTGGTATTTTAGTTCTCAATGCCTTCATCATGCTGGTTGGATATATATGTATGAGGCTCAAATGAACCCCATGTTCACACACAGTTTTATACTGCTTTACTGTGCTCATTTATCTCTGTGTGACCTCCTCAGTACTTTGTGGCTCCATGAGACTTATTCCTACTCTGCATACAGAAAGCTGAAACTTTAGTTGCTCACTCTGCTGCATGCTTCTTCAAGTGCAACCCTTTCTAGAGCCAAAAGATGGGAGGAAAGAGAGAAAAAGAAACAAGAAGACTGTCCTCATGGGACTACAGTATTCCTGTTTGGATGAGGACGTTTTACTTTATCAGTGTTTTGGCTTTGTAGGTTTTATTTGCTGCCACAGTGGGATTTCCTACAGACTGGTTTGTGACAGAAAAGAAAGAAATATTAGGGACAATACAGAATTAAATTCCCACCATTCAAGCCAGAACTAGAATGTGTCTCTGGAGTTTTTCTGTTCTTAATCATGCCTACAGAATTTTGAGCTATAATGAGTTCATGCTTAGGAATACTAGAGTAAAAAGACAAACTTATTGCTAGAATGGTTGTACCTTGAATTCTACTTTTCTTGCCTACTTCCTGCTGATAGTTTTTAGACTCTTGATCGCAGCTCTTAAGTATTCTGTCCTGACTTTATAGCTACATTTAGTGGGAGGGGCAGGATGAGTCATGCTTATCCCAGAAACAGAATGTGGACTTTGCTTTTATTTCTATAAAATGAAACAAAACTGAATATCCAGATACTTGTACTTGTGAGTGGTTCCAATCATTGAAGCAATGAACTATTTGATTATTCATTAAGACAGCAGAGAGAAGTTTTGAGATTATACTTCATATTAAAATTTAATAAAAAGCCGGGCGCTGGTGGCTCCCACCTGTAATCCTAGCTACTCAAGAGGCTGAGATCTGAGGATCTCGGTTCAAAGCCAGCCTGGGCAGGAGAGACCGTGAGACTCCTATCTCCAATAAACCACCAGAAAACCAGAAGTGGCGCTGTAGCTCAAGTGGTAGAACACTCGCTTTGAGCTGAAGAGCTGAGGGACAGCGCCCAGGCCCAGAGTTCAAGCCCCACGACCGACAAAAAATAAATAAATAAATAAAAAATAAAATAAAATTTAATAAAGACAGGGTGAGAAAAATTATAAGCTAACTCAATTCATTAACACCAGTATATAACATTTAATACAATAGAATTTATTAGGATGTAAAAAAGTAACATTAGATGACCAAAGTAACTTTCCTGGTCTTTGTTTAAAGTTTAAAAATCAGTAAAGCAGTCAACAGAATTTACTGTATTAACTGATGAAAGTTAAAAACAAGTTGGGCAGCTATGGTTTATGCCATAATTCTAGCTACTCAGGAGTCTGAAATCTGAGGATCACAATTTGAAGTCAGTCCCTGGAAAGTCCACGAGACTCTTATCTCTAATTAACCAACAAAAAGCTGAAAGTTGAGCTATGTGTGGCTAAGTCGTAGGGCAGTAGGCTTGAGCACAAGAGCTCAGGGACAGTGCCAAGGCCCTGAGTTCCAGCTCTAGCATGGACTACCTAGTGAAATCCTGTCTCAACAAACAAGCAAATAAGACTGTCTACTCAGGTGCTGGTGGCTCTTGCCTGTAATCCTAGCTATTTAGGAGGCTGAGATCTGAGGATTGTGCACAGTTCAAAGCCAGCCCAGGCAGGAAATTCTGTGAGACTCTTATCTCCAATAACCCACCAGAAAACCAGAAGTGGTGCTATGGCTCAAGTGGTAAGAGTGCTCACCTTGAGCTGAAGAGCTGAGGGACAGTGCCCAGGCCCAGAGTTCAAGCCTCAAGACCACCGCCAACAACAACAAAAGACTGTCCAATTATGTTTTAAAATATTTGGTAGAATGTAGTAACAATTCATCATACCGTGAAGCTGTAAAATCTTTTCACATTAATGAGATCAGGTAACAAGATGAGGGTACCCATCACCACAGGAAGAGAACACTGAGCTCAGAGATTCACTGCTTTTATAGAAAGCTGTGCTTAGCCAGAGAAAATTCTTGACCCCCTTCCTTGATGATGTTCCTTGCAAACATGTTCTAAGAAATAGTTCCAATAGCATACAGTTATGTAACAACTGTATGTGCTTTATAAAAACATAGAATGGCAGAAAATGTACAAGAGTTGGAAAAGATAAAGTGATCATTATCCAAAAATGAATTATGTTGAGTGGACATGCAAGCTCCCAGAGCTGGGGGATCTCCAGGTCCTCTTGGAGAGGAAGAGGACTGCAGTGTCCACATGGATATTCAGTGCTGATCTATAGAAAAGATAGTGAACCTGAGCAGCATCTCTAACAAAGGAAAGAAAACGATTCCCTTGCTTAGATTTTGAAAAGCTGGTGATGGACAGTGCTTGAGTATACACCATAATATATACGTATAGGTAATGAGAAAAAAAAAACCCAGGCTGCTACAATTTGGATATGGTTTGAGTGTGTCTCTCAGAAGTACGTTTGCTGGAAGCTTAGTTTTCAGTATGTTGATGTTGAAGTGGTAGAACCTTTAAGGAGTGGGGCCTGCTGGAAGGTGATTAGGTCATTGTAGTGGCTGCCCAAGGGAGGGAGAGTCTCAAGAGCAGTTTGTTATAGATTAAGCCTGGACCCTAAATCTCTCTAGCTTCCCATCTTGCCTTGTGATCCCTTCCTCACATGCTCTAGCCATTGGGATTCCATTTGCCATGAGGCACACCATGAAGACCAAACAGGAGAGGCTACCCAATCTTGGACTTTCAGCCTGCAAAAAAGTGAGCTAGATAAACTTTTTTTTCTTTATAAGGTATCCAACTACAGCTATTTTCTTATAACAGAAAACAGATGAAGGACACAAGTTATAAAGTCTTTTGCCACACTAGCAAAATTATTTTTCTTTTTCTTTTATAGTTCTATTCCATTTTCATGCTTCTCACCAAGTTTTTACATTGTTGTTGGGCAAGAGAGTCCACCATGGTTCTGGTCCTTCCTGCAAGTACTTGTTTGGTATAAGAAGAATACTTGATGGCACTTTTCCTCACCTGTTAGGACATCTGCACAAGCAGCAGCCTCAAAGGATGAGTGGACAATTCTTAGAGGCAAGGAACAGCTGGCTTCTGCTTTCTGTGAAAAAAAAATCAGTGACTCTCCATGCTTGGTATTCCCTTCCTGCAGTCCAGCGCCCTCATGTGCAGCCATCTGTGACAAATCTTTTGCATTTCCTTCCTGGGGCTTAGGAGGCAACTAACAAAAGAGTATGGTAAGTGTTCCTTAAAATAAACTTATCTCTGACCCCAAAAGCTCTATCTTCTGCTAGACTCCATGAAATTGGACTCTAGCCTCTACATATCATTAAATCCTCAAACTACATAGATCTCCAATGGGTAGTCCTGGTTCTTATGTACATTTTTCGTTGGCAGTGTTTTATGTGCCAGCAATTTATGTTACACATGACACCACATTATTATTCTATGAAATTTATAGTGCTAAAAAGGTGATGTAGTTTGCTTAATGAAACATATTTTGGGGGTTTCCTTGATTAAAAAAATTCTATTGATTTGTGTGTGTGTGCGTGTGTGTGTGTGTGTGTGTTTGTCAGTCTTAGAGCTTGAACTCAGCCTGGCCTCAAGGTTAGCAGTCTACCATTGAGCCACACACAACTTCACTTTCACCTTCTGGTGGTTAACCGGAGATAAGAGTCTTACAGAGTTTCCTGCCTGGGCTAACTCTGAACCACCATCCTCAGATCCCAACCTCTTGATTACAAGTGTGATCCACCAGTACCCTGCCTTACTTGGTGATTTTTAACAATCTACTTAGGATAAATTATCAACAGTAAGGTTAAAGTAGTAAATATGATTTTGATGACAATTTTCTTTATAAATCGTCTCATCACTTCTAAAAAGAAAAAAATTAGTAATAATAGAAGAAAATAAACCTGCATGTTCCAAACCATTGATAGTTTGAAGTGGAGAATTTGCTTCTTGGAAACACTGATTTGGGGGACCCAATTATAGGTAACTTCAGGATAGCTTTTAAACCCTTAGATTTGATTTTGCTGTGTAAAATATTGAAAACCAAGATATGAAAGTTATCATTTGGCTGTTGATCACAAAGTCTTTATACACATCATTAAATCTAACAATCTGGAACTGGTAGGAGATAGAAATCAAGATGGTTAAACATAAATCTAGTATAAGGAAGTAATTATAAGCTGAACGCCATTAGCTCATGCCTGTAATCCTGGGTACTTAGGAGACTGAGAACTGAAGGTTCAAAGACAGCCTGGGCAGATAAGTCCCAGAAACTCTTATCTCCAGTTAGACAACAAAAAGCCAGAAATTGTGTGGTTCAAATGGCAGAACACCATCCTTGAGTGAAAAATCCAAGCCAGAGCATAAAGCCCTGAGTTCAAGCCCTAGTACCAGTGCACATGCACACTCAGAAAGAAGGATCAGAAGAAGAAGGAAAAGGAAAGAGGAGGAGGAGAAAAAAGAAGAAGGAGGGGAGGGAGGGGGAAGAGGAGGAAGAAGAAATTGTGAAAAGTGACCATAGGCATAAATCGAAAAGAGCCAGGCTCTGGTAATCCTAGCTACTCTGAAGGCTGACATCTGAGAATCACAGTTCATGTCCAGCCTAGGCAGGAAAATCTGAGACTACTATCTCCAATTAACCACTAAAAAGCTGGAAGCAGAGTTGTGGCTCAAGTGGTAGAGTGCTGGCCTTGAGTAAAAAAAAGCTCAGGATAGAACCCAGGCCCTGAGTTGAAGCGTCCCCTCCCCCAATATCTAGAAGGCACCTTGAGGGATAAGGGAAAGCTCTCAGGAAAGGACAGGCTGGGAAGGTTCTTACTTGTTGGAGAAGATGTGGCTCAGCTCACAGTGGACTTGCTGGGGTTGGTCTGAAGTGGCAGAGATTCAGTGGGTCACTATGGGGCATGCAGGGGTGAGTAGCCTACTGCAGAGGGCACATTTACTCTGCCAACCTCTCCAGCCCAGGTTGTAGAGCACAGTCAACATTAAAGCTTCCCAGTAGAGAGATTGGTTAGGGTCAGTTTCACCCCAACCAGGCTGCAAGGTAGCAGGCTGTGCATAGTTGGGCAGGCTTCCTGGAGGTCCTCACTCCATACCATGTCCCTCTAACTGTGCTTGAACCCACCCAGTGGGCCTCTGTCCCTTGCTACCCTTCCTGACATCTCCATTCCACCATGGAGAAAGCAAATTTCTGCTTGCTTTAGAAGTGTGATTGATGGAATTTCATTGTTCATCACAGCAGTATTAGATGGAGCTAAGGAATAAACTGGTAGTCGACACCTGAAATATCCCAGCCTGCTTTTTCTATACATGTAGTTAGTTAGCTGTAGTCTTATCTGACCACTCTGCTAGTCTCCATGTGTTAAATGTTACCGGATCCAAGTCTGCAGCCAAACCTTACCAGGCCACATTGCTGACCTTTCTTAACAATGCAGCCTTAGGAGCATGACTTAACCTCTTGAATTCCACAGAAGTACAGCTTCAGTTAGCCTCTTTCCACACTGAACCCACAGCTCCCTCAGGAAGTACAAAAGTGGATGACAACTGGTTGGAAATCCACCCCCCTACACTCATGTAAGCAGCATGCCAAATGTCCTTTGAGAGGGTTAAATACCAAGCAACTAAAAGATCCCCTCTCAGTGTCAGAATATCAACCCTTTCATGTAATTTCTGATTGTGGCAGAAATTCTAATTAAGGTGAAAAATTAGTAAAGAGAAAGAAGTTTCCTGTGATGGGGAAGACTGGAGCTCCTCATTTCTTGTCAGTTCTCAGAACTGCTAGCCAGTCTTCTTTTCTTAATGGACACTCATTCCTTTTGAAATCAATGACCATCTTTCTCTCATGCTCCCCATCCTTCATGAAGCAGTTCTAAGTGGTGCTTTGCTTTGGATTCTGAAACACTGGACTCTTTAGTATTTGACACCTATGCCTAGGATTTGTGCAGCAGAAAACATTGCAAAGGTTACCTTCACTTCACCCAAAAGGGTGTAGTTAGTCAATGCATGAAGACCCCCTGCAAAGGTATTACCAGCTGGCATCCAACTTCACATAAGAGAAAGAGTGTTTTGTGAAATTAGGGCCATGTATTATCTGGATTTCTGGGTTTATTTCTGTGTTCAGACTAGAACTATTTTGGTAAGATGAAGGCAAAACAAATTTTAAAGTTTTATGAAATTTCCTTGATAAACTAAAGAAACCTATCCCCAGAACAATTCTGAAGGAAACCAGATTCATAGAATTTTTGTACCTTATAAGCAAATTTGGTTGGTGGCTCATGCCCATAATCCTAGCTACTCAGGAGGCTGAGCTCTGAGGATCATGGTTTGAAGCTAGCCTGAACAGGAAAAGTCCACGAGCCTCTTATTTTCAAATCACCAAAAAGCTGAAGTAGAGCTGTCGCTCAAGTGGTAGTGTGTTAGCCTTGAGTGAAAAAGCTCAGGAACAATGCCCAGACCCTGAATTCAAGCTTTAGGTTTAGCACAGAACATGCACTCTCTCTCTCTCTCTTTCTCGCTCTCTAACTTGTCAGCCTGGCATCTGTGACCCATGCCTATATCAACTGAGGAAGGTAAGATCAGAGAAAGTTCAAAGCCAGCCTGCAAAGAAAAGTCATTGAGATTCTATCTGTAATTAACTATCACAAATCCAGGTTGAAGTGTGGCTCAAGTGGTAAAGCACCAGCGGGGCAATGTGCCAGGGCCTACCTGGAGGCCTTCTTCCCTCACCTTCAGTGCTGGGCACTGGCCCTGTTGGAGCTGTTTCCTCTTGATGTGTGGGCTAAATCAAGGAAGAAGAATCAGAGACAAATCCATGACAAAGAATTAAAGATTGTGGCCTTTTAAATACTGAGGAAAATCTGCTGCTGGCCATTTTGGATTTGATCAGACATAACTGTATCAGTTCTTATTTCTATCCCCTGAGATTCCTCTACCTAACTGATCAGTGTACATCTTCATTTTCCATATTTGTGGTAGACTCCATGCTCCACTCAGGACTCTTGAGTGTAGAAGACAGCACTACACTGAGGATGAAAGATTGGGTTCTAAAGGCAAGCAGACCTGGGGCTTCATCCTAGCTCCATGGTTCTTTTTTTTTGGGGGGGTCCAGTCGTGGGGCCTGAACTCTGGGCCTGGGCACTGTCCCTCAGCTCTTCAGCTCAAGGCTAGTGCTCTACCACTTGAGCCACAGCGCCACTTCTGGCTTTTTTGTTTCTGCTTATGTGGTGCTGAGGAATTGAACCCAGGGCCTCATGCATGCAAGGCAAGCGCTCTACCACTGAGCCACCTTCTCAGCCCCATGGTTCTTTACCAGGAAAATATTCTTACTTCCATCAAGCTTTTCCAGAGAGGAAGAAACTGGAATATTACTACAGGTTGACTATTTCTTTTTTTTTTTTGGTTGGTCATGGGGCTTGAACTCTGGACCTGGGCGCTGTCCCTCAGCTCTTCAGCTCAAGGCGAGCGCTCTACCACTTGAGCTACAGCGCCACTTCCAGTTTTCTGGTCATTTATTGGAGATAGGAGTCTCACAGTCTCTCCTGCCTGGGCTGGCTTTGAACCGCAATCCTCAGATCTCAGCCTCCTGAGTAGCTAGGATTACAGGTGTGAGCCACCAGCGCCGGGCATCAGGTTGACTATTTCTTATCCAAAATGGGACCAGAAGTGTTCTATTTTTTTTTCTTTCAGGGTTTAGAACATTTACCCTCCAAAGTCTACACTAGAGGGCAGCAAATATACATCTGGCTCCCAGTCTTGGCACCCTTGCACTTCGGAGACTGATTTAAAAACTTGTGATCCTGACTATAGTAGTCACCTTCCTGGACAGAAATAGGTTGTGAGTGCCATTTCTTGATGTACTTTACTGAATATTACGATTTCCACACAAAATGTCCTCCACACGCTCATCTTTTGAGCAGCATACAGCAGTGTTCAAAGGTGGATCCTTGAGATGTGATTGGAACATGAAGGTTCTGAAGGCTCATAATTGAGTGAACGATTAATAGTGGAAGCTGTAGGAGGTGTGACTATTTGGAGGGAGTAAGTCACCGAAGGCTTGTCCTCAACGGCTGCATCTTGTCTCTTAACTCCTTC